GCCATCTTGGCGGCCGCTCACGTGGCGGGCCGCGCGGCGCCCCCTAGCGGCCGTTACCGCCGTTACCCGCCTCCCCGGCGGCCGTTACCGCCGCTACCCGCCGCTGTGACGGCTGTTACCGCTCTTACTGCCGTTACCGCCGTTACTCGCCTCCCTGGCGGCCGTTACCGCTCTTACGGCTGTTACCGCCGTTACCCGCCTCCCCGGCGGCCGTTACAGCCGTTACCCGCCTCCCTGGCGGCCGTTAGAGCCGCTGCCCGCCGCTGTGATGGCTGTTACTGCTCTTACTGTTGTTACTGCCGTTACCGGCCTCCCTGGCGGCCGTTACCGCCGTTACCTGCTGTCCTGACGGCCGTTACCGCCGCTACCCGCCGCCGATACAGCCGTTACGGCGCTCACTGCTGTTACCGCCGCTACCCGCTGCCGTGACAGCCCWTACAGCTGTTACCCGCTGCCGTGAGGGCCGTCACAGCCGTTACCTGCTGTTAGGCACCGGCTACCACAAAGCTGCGTTTGCAAACAACGGAGCAGACACCTCATAGCAGCTAGAATGGAGGGAAACAATTTCTCCATGTGAACTTCTGTAGACCATTGTAAGCTGTATTGGCTCTGTTCCAACAGCCTCCTTTCCCCTTCTGCACCCGCAGAATTGACGCTGGATGGGAGAACCCATGTTATTTCTGTCCAACCCACCATATCTGCCCGGAGGAACTGTCTGTAGGGACTATAGAGCTTCCTCTAGCTGTGTCACTGCTTGGTACCTTCGTACTCGCCTTAGGGATCCCTTGGTGGGGCGAGGTGGGGAGAAAATGAGTTAAGCTGATACAAAGCTGAGAGATTAAAATGCTATGACATTTTGAACCTGAAGTTTAAACTGAAAGTACAGAGTTCGGACTGGTAGAGGATGCTGTGTGCACAGAGAAAGGGGCATCCAGCGTCTTTCCACCCCATTTCCTTTCAAGAAGGAAGACTGAGTTTGCCAAAACTGGTGAAGAAAAGTAAGTACCATGCTTTTTTTCTAGCTGTAGTCCAAATGCAGTGGGGAGAATGGCTGCTTTCAGATCCTGTTAGTCAGGCATCCAGATCACGTATTGCAAGCAGAATAAAAAGCGTCTTGTATTTGGGAGCATGGTGGTGTAGAGGGGAACGTTTGGATAGGGGCTGGGCGGCCTGTCTTGGTGTGYGGTCACTGAGGGGTCTCCGCAGCATTCAGACAGGCTGGGGGCTCTGGGCTAGGCTTCCCAGGACCGCCTCCCCGGGGGAGCTTATTCGAGGACTCTTTGCTGCATCTCTGCAGCAGAACAGCAAGCAGTGTTCCCTGCAGCCTGAACAAACAGGAGCCCGAATACAAGAAGCAAATTGCCCACTCWTAATCAATGGCTTTAATTTATTATAGCCATTTAGCAGAGCCTAAATACAGAGAATATTTTAGCAGAGTTAAAATACAGAGGATGGAACAAGAGATCCCCAAGGCATGGGTCACCTACAAGTTTTYGTGAATGTGGCTGACAATGCCAGGGGTGTGTGTGAATGGAGCTTAGGGATCTGGGACAGTGCTCTTCCTTTGAAAAGACTTGAGTTTTTGTTTCTCTAATTAGAAAAAGATTCGTTCCATACCTGATCTTGAACAAACATTCAAGCCTTTACTATCTTGTTGAGTCAATTTGTTGAATTAGTTAAATGCTATAAGAGGTTTTATCGTTACTACAAGTTTGCTGGTAGGCAAGGTGGAGAACTGAATTATACTGGAAGTTAAATATCTAACATTTGTTTTTTTAATGCTGGTAACAGAAATTAAAAATGAGCAAAATAACCAGGTTACCGCTATGGCAACATTCAGATTGGGTGGCCATTGAGGTCTGTGGAAAAGCATCTTTTATTCATAACTSTCTGTTATGAATAAAAAGCAAAGACACACTGTTTATTCTTGGCACTATGTAATACATTTTATTTCACCCATGGTCACTGCATCTACCTAAGCTTCAAGCTCCTGAGGAAAGGCTTTATCCTAATGATTTTCACATTAGGGTTCATGAAATACTTCTATGTGGTGTTGGCAAAATAATATAAATGTTTGTGTCGGGAGACTTCTGTTTGTTTTTGACATCTGCATTTCCACCAGAAAACAGCTTTCAGCAAATGYAAAATAGTTGGAAATTGCTGATTATGTGTGTATACTAGAATCCAGTGCAATGCAGGTGTTGAAGGTATTTAGTACCTAGAGGGATCAAGGCTTGACACAGCAAATTACRTTATCACAGAAATAATCAGCATATTAATCCAGCTCCAATAAAGCTGAAGATCTCTTTGGAAATGGTAGAATTTGACATAGATAAAAATGTACATGTTCAGTGATAGCAGGGCTGCACTGAAATAATTTCTGACCCTCTGGGATACTCTGAAACTTGTCAGGAAAAACAGCATTGTGTGGGAGCATTCAGTATTGCTGTAATTAAACATCAGCTCTGAAAATGAGGCAGCTCCTTGTACTGCAAGAGAAGATGGTGATTTAAAGTCATTTCCCCCTGCCATGAGCACTGGTGTAAACCAAGTGCCGGTCGATCCTCTGTGTGCGGAAGCAGCATYGCGGGTGACAGTCAGTAACGCACCGTCGCTCTCAGCACTGATAGTAGAGGAACCCCCCGAGTGCTCCCACCGCGACAGCCGTGCTGTGAGAGGAACATCCATCTGTGGAGAAAGTTACTGAATGTTGCCGTGTGGCTAGCGCAGGTGATGATCTGTATTCCTGATTTTACATCCTTGTGCATTTTTAAGGCTATGACAGTGTTTAGTTAGGGAGAGAAAATGGTGAAATGAATTTGAACTCCAATTAGCTTTTACACTCAGCTTGAGATGGCCTGAGATTTGTGTGAACTTGGGCTCTGCATTGACCTTCCATAAAATAATCTTTGTGCTTTACTTTACCCAGCCATTGAAGCAGCATTCTTTTACCTAACAGGAACATTGTGAGTCTATAGAAATGCTTTGAAAGTACTTTGAGAGCCACTGAAGGAAAAAAAAAACTATCCTTCATATAATGAAAAGCATTTTATTTCCTGATATGAATCTGTTTGTCACTATGTGAATAGCCCCACTTGCTATCTCCCAGTGCAAGACTCGTGCATTTCCAAAAATCAGAAACATGGACAACCACATAGATTAAAATTGCAGTTTCCACATRAATTGACCATAGAAGAATTTCAGATATTTTAGTTTCCCTAGTGCTATGCATCCTGCATAAGAACTCAAATATGAAGATAGTTGACTCATTGACTGGAAGGTAATGAATATTATCTCTTTGACTACTTTAAACAAGCTGCTTTAGAGAACATAAGCAGCATTTGTCCATTTGTTTTATTTTACATTTTTTTTTAATTCTATTATTCATTGTCTTTCAGGAATTTTCTTTTTTTTGTAAGTAGATTGATACATAATAAGGTGATGTAAGGTTAAACTGGTATGTGTGGAATTTAGCCCAATATAATGGCTGTATAACAAGTTAACTGCAACCAGACCGAGTGTTTTTAACCCTGAGAGCAACAACAGATCTTACATGCCCTGACTGGCTTCACCTGGTGCTTCAACCTTCCCTCCTTTACCACCACCCAACCAGGCCTGTGTACCTCATTTAACCTCAGGCCTGGGTCCTCTGCTCTTGSTCGAGTTGCTTCTTGCTTCTAGTTCTGCTCCTGAGGTGTTGTTTGGATCTCCTGGATTGACCTTAGACTGATTACCTTGCTCTGCCTGATGATTGCTGGACCTGTTGTTATGCTGCCCTGCTGTCCTGGCTCAGGATCCTGTGGGATGGTGCCTTGTTGGTGAGATTGTTACTTGCTCTTGGTCACCCTTGGCTTACCTTAACAAACAAGGCCCTGCTGCTCCCTGGCATTATCAGTCAGATTTTTTTTTTTTTTTTTTTGCCAATCTGATTTCAGTGTGGCTTTTTGGATTTTTCAGTGTGGATAGATCCAATCTCTCATTCTGCACTCGGGCTGTAAGATTTCCTTACAAACTTGCAAGTTACTATCAACTAATGGAAAGATTTCTGCCTGACAAAAAGCCATGAGAGTTATTTCAGGCTGGTGGAAGCATTTGCGACATCTTGTATTTCTGCAAACTTTTCTAGGGAGAAAACTACTTATATGTAGTAAAAATAAGTTAAAAATTACCTTGACAACAAATTACCCGAGATGTTCATGCAGCAATTGCTCTGCACCAGCTGGAACAAAGCTTTCTAAAAAACTCTCTCCTTTAATTATTTCCACTGGTTTTACCTGTGAACAACTTCTCCCTTCTCTTAGTTCTCCTGAGCAGATGCTTTTGATCTGCTCCTCCAGAGCTGTGTTCAAAATCTTCATCTAGAAAAGAAGAAAATAAAGGAAAAAGATTATCTTTCACTGTGGAGGGCTCTTTCATTCACAATGAGGAAGGCTTTTGCTTATGCCTCTCCTTCTGAAGGCTGTGCTTGTTAATTTGAAGATTAGGTGACACATCACCTTATATCACAACTGACCAGACAGACCTTATGTGAGGAAACATACTACAGATGGGCTAGGGTTCTAGGAACCTATAGAACTGCATACATTCTTACCTGGTTCTGAAGCTGGTTTGGTGTTTGTGAAAAGTTTGGGATATGGAAAGCACTAATCATTTTCCCTCTGCCCCCCCCAGTGGAGATATGGAGGACATTCTTTGAATTTGTGTTTTCAATAAGACCATACAGAAATGCTGTAGCAAAGTCCATTGGTTTGCAGTTTAAATCTTGCACATTTGGGTCACGCACCTCACTCCTGTAAGGTAGAGTTTACTCACTAGGTTTTCCAAAGCATCCTTCCTTAGACTTCTGCCAACTGAGAATGGCCTCCAGCCACCTGTGCTGGTAGAAGTCAGAGAAACCAGACATGCCACAGAACATAACTAGAGGGGGAAACAAAACATATATATATATATATATATAAGTGAAAGGTTTACTCATATTATTTAACATCTGCCATGTTATGATTGACTAACTAGAACAGGTTACGTACTATTTTCCATGAAGAGGTCTTGAGAAGGAAACTTGAATCCGTTGCTTTCAATTGCAAGGTTTATTTTCATCATGTTAGCACAGAAAATATTCTTGTAATACTGGGCCCTCAGGAACAGGTGATTTGAGCATCCTTTCTAGATAAAGAAGAGAACTGTTTTTGCTTTCTATTTTATTAGACTTCTTCACCCCCAGTCTGGAGTAGGGAAGACTGGATCTGCAAACTGCTATTTGCAATTGAAAATTGTATTTTGATTGAAATTTTCTGTGATCATTAAATGTAATGACACTATTTTTAGAAAACAAACAAACAAAAAAAAMCTTGACATTTACCATGTCAGCAAACATAAAGTAAAAAAGCTGATGAGACAGGGAGTAATCTGAGCAACCAGGCTTTGTCATTATGTTTCTGCAGGTGTTTGTGACGATGCAGGGCTTGCCGTTTTCTTTCCTGCGTAAGAACAGCAACAAAGAGTTTCTGAGTTAGAGATGAACTGCTCAGGAATGTTCTGTTTCATGTACTYGTGCAGAAAATGGTAACCCTCATTTCCTGCCTGTCAGTGTAAATGCTAGCAGAAGGTAAAATGCCTCATAAAACAGTGGCAGTAAGACRATATCTGCACATATCAGTAAAACGTACCATGTTCCCAGCAAATATGTCAAACATGAGTCGCTCATTTCTTCTGTAAGGCACTTCTTCTTGTCAAATGTAGTGTAGGCCAGCAAGGAATCGGTTTGGTTCCACAGTTGAGGAAAGAGCCAAAAATGTGGTCCTAATATTGGTTCAAATTCTGAAAGCAAATYAAAGAAGTCCCATAATTAGTGGTTTGGTAGAGGGAGTTGCCAGGTCCTGCCTGATTTTTAAGTGTCTGTCTGCACCCAAGGTATTCCCACGTGTACATGCATGTAGCTCTTCTGCAGAAATATTCACTTCAAAGCCTGTGCTTGAGGTAAAGCCAACCAGTGCATGTACCACAGAGTGTGGTGCTTGCTCTCTGCCCAAAGCAACAGAAGCAAAACGGACCTTGCAAAAATAATGGTAGTAGCACTAATAGTAGAATAACTGTGGGGGGGGGGAAACTATGGCAGAAAAAAAAATGCTCTGACATTCCAACTTCCTAGTAGTCCTTCTTTCCTTAGCATTTCCAGGATGTATACCAAATATTGCTATCGCTCTAAATAATTTCTTTTCATTTGCATCTTTATTTCGTAGAATAATAAAGGAACTGAATTCTTTCATAAAGTAACTGTAATATAAATGGCTCAATCTTGAGCAAGAATAATTTTTCTTTATCACCATTGACACAACTTTTACCTCTGAAATATTTGGGGTCATTCTTTTCTAGAAAATGTGTTGCTTTTTCAATCAGAGAAGACAACTTCCCCAGCAAGATTTCAACTCGGGCACGGTGAGGAAGCGATTCGTGTGCTGAGGACCATTTTTCTAGGACTCCTTTCAAATAACCTGTAAAAAGAAAGGAACGGATTTACGCACATGAGCATAAAACTGTCAGTTCATCCCATTTTAGAGGAAAAAAAAGGAAAATATGGATATTATTTTGTACTTTTTATGAGATTTAACCTGGACAATGTTTAGCACCCAAATGTACATCTGTACTAAGAAGCATCTCCTTTTGTTTGTTTAGCTGGTACCTTGCAGTCAAGGTAGTAGGACAGCCTTACTGTAAACTCAGAGATGCCTAAGTTGACTGTAATTTGCATTAGCCCCCAAAACTATGTGCATAAAGGTAACTTGTATCAGTTACTCATTTGGGTTCTYCAGGAGGATTTAATACCTGGCATTATCAAATAGAGTTAAAAATAGTCTCACAGCTCATTGCATTTCTCCCAGCCCATAGATTAACCCAAGTGATGCCTTTTTAAAAGAAGAACAATCAGGGTTTTTTCTAAGACTKATATTTGATATAAAGACCAGCTAGATCACTACTGTGGTGGTCAAATTTAAGGAACTGACTCTTCAAAACAAAAAGAAAAAAAAAGAATTAAGATATTCTTACAAGATGCGTCATATACTACTAGCAGCTATTTATAGAAAAAGCAAATTTAAAGATGAGAAAATTATTGGCCTTGTCTGACACTTCCAGAAGCAATGGGATCACAGTACCTTGCAGGATATGAAATCCCAACACCGCGTCCAAGTTGAGGGCCCGATACTGACTCTCCATGAAGACGGTCGCTCTCTYGAGCGCGCCGATGACGGCGCCGCTGGTGTTGGGTGCGCTCAGCGGCGAGCCAGGCCCGGGCAGCGCCAGCAGCAGCAAGAGGAGGGTGCCGGGCATCGCTGCCTCGCTGCGGATGATGYGTGAGCTGTCAGTGCCCGCCGCTCGCTGCGGCTGTGCGGGGCCGTGGTCCTGCAGGAACTGGCYGCAGCTGCGGGAAGCGGCTCCTTCCTTCTTATGTCAGCGCGCTTGGCGGYTCGGTTGGCCTGGTCCACTCCAGCCCTGCATCCTCAGCTTGGTAAAGCTCCTGTCAGCGGCAGTGTTGGGGAGGAGCCCACGCGCTGTGTGGAGGCAGGAGAGAGAACAGCCTCTCCTTGCCGGGCTGCACCTGGAAAACGGGAATCGGAGCGTGCACGTGAGGAGGTGCTGAGGAAATCCCTGCCATGCAGCGGGGAGAGACCGGTGTGGAGGCCCGAGCGCCTGTGAGCTGCAGTGTGTGTAGTGGGCAGAAGGGTTAGGATGGACCCGCTCTTCCCTGCGGGAGTGAGTCCTTGTCCCCTCTGCTCCCTGGGGTGTCCGG